ATTAATGAATATTACATTCTAAGACATATGTCTCACTGAGCAGAAGGTCAAGCTGCAGAAAGAGCTTGAAGATAATTGATAAGAAGAGATGAGATAAAATAATGAAAAGAACAAAAGATAATAATTTTCTTATTGTCTTTATCTTCTTATTCAATAGTTAAAATTAGATTGTAATACATTTTCTTTCTTTCTTTCACTCTCTCTCTATTTTACTTTTCTTTCTATTTTTTACTTAGCTGACTGTAAGACTTCTTGATCATGAAGATCTTGACCAGATGTGAGATGTCTTATGTAATAACTTCAAGAGACTCTCAGATCAGATCTTTATATCTCTTTTACTTAATCTAAAGATAAGTCTTACTTTTCTCTATGTGTTTTCTTATAATATTTTCAACTTCAAATTGTAACTACTTATCAACAAGTACTGACTCTGATAATGAGTGTTTCATATTCACTCTCATTAACACAGTCATTTTCAGATGAATGATGAAGATTACTGAGTGCATTTATTAACTGACTGACAGTTTCAATTGAAATGCAGCATCTGATATCTTCTGAAGAATGTGAAATGAGTCTACTTATAAGAGTGATAGCTTGAACATTTCTTTTAATGTATAGCTCTTTTGAGCTTTTTAAGTAAGGTTTAAGAAGACTTAATCATCAATCTGAATAGTTGATTGAAAATGAAATCAGTTAAAAGACTCAGTCATTCTTAGACTGACCGCCGAGATCATGAATTTCACATTTGGTCTCATTTGATCTGGTCTCATACATTTCTTGGCGTGAATCCCGCTGGGACTGACTATTAAAAAAACATGTAAAGTGACTATATATCAGATCTTAAAATGAAATCATGACTTGAAAAAAATGAGAAAGTGATCTCATTTGATCTCATTTAATTTCATTCTTGACATAAAGTGACTATTTTTAGACATTTTAAGGTTTTTTTTAGACTATTTTTAATTTTTTAAAAAGTAACACTTTTTGATAATGCTCAAATGAGATTTAAAGTCATTTAAAGCAATAAAAATAATTTAAATTGAGAAGTGAAAATCATGGTCTCATTTGAAAAATGTGATAAGAGTAGACAGTAAGTCTCACTGAGACAGTATAGAACTACTATCTAATGTTAAAACCGTGTAATGAGAGCAGTTGAATTGGTAATGAGACTATCAAAAAATCTGATCCTGGTCTCAGACACGGTCACACGGTCAGTCTAGTCATTCTAGCTTTTATCAGAGTGTATAAGTCAAGAATGTCTTACTGCACTGTGTCTTATACAGTCATAAACTCAGTTATATCTAGTGAAGCTTTCTCATTGTTTAATAACAGTTATCTAGACTTTACATCTGTGAGCAGTTCAAAAAGAGAGATCATTGCTGACTATACAGCTACTGAGTTTAACACTCTTTTCACTTGTTTAAGCAGAGCAGTTCAACTTACTTTATATTCATCTATAAGAATTATTCACAATGTGACTTTGATTATGAGATTAATTTGCTTATTTTGATTATTTAAGTAAGAGTTATAGACAGTTATTATTCATGTCTTGATTCTCATAAGTTGAAGAACTGACTTTCAAAATTGTAATGTAAATTTAAGATCTCTATTTAAAATAATCACTAGTGAGAGCTGTCAGTAGCAGATGATCTTCTTATAACAGTCTTTCACTTATTATGAAGTATTCTATCATTTCTGTTCTGTAATTAGAATTACTGCTTTTGAAAATTTATCTATAACTGTTAATATAGTGTTGTGATTATCATTCACAGATAATTCTGTAATAAAATTAATTAAAAGAACTTCAAACAGCTGTTTTAATAGTGAGATGAGATGTAATTTGCCCTCTGATAAGTGATTCAGTGATTTAGCTAGTTAATAATTGAGACATTGTAATAGATGATTCAGAATTCTCTTTCAGATATGAGAAAGAAAGAAGAACTGATGAATAAAGTCTTTCATTCAATGAAGATCAGAGTGATCTGCTGCATTGTAACATATATATAGACTGACCGTGTGACCGTGTCTGAGACCAGAATCAAACTTTACAGTTATTATATTGTCTAAAAGCATTACTTCTGATCATAATTTATATTCATTACATTGATTTCAAATCATGTTATTTTAAATATTAAAGGTCTTAGATTTACTTTTCAAATAAAAATCTAGTCTTAAATAAAGAATATGTTTGAATTCTTAGTCACATTTTCATTCTGATTTCATTATTAAGAATAGCATTAAATGAGATCATGAAATCACTTCTCACTTACATAATATTATAACATAGTACTCATTTATTGAAAATTCAATAGAGAGTATTATCAAATATTAATACTTTTCTGAATACAGATAATAATTCATATAATTTTAATTATAAAAAAAATATAAAATATATAAAAAAAAAAACAAAAAACAAAAAATAAAACAAAAACAAGAAAAAATCAGAATGAAAAAAAAGAGAGAAAGAAAAAAAAATAAAAGAAAAATAAAAAAATAAAAAATAAAAATAAAAAAAAATTAAGATCATAGAGTCACAGTAGTTTTGAAATACTTACTTCTTAGAGTCTTTGCAATATTTATTATCAATTATATATTTCTCATAGTGAGAATAAGACAGCTGTGATGAATCATTGTCTTAATATTATCTAATAAATAATCAGTATATATCTGTATAAATGTGAATATTTAGAAAATATACATTTAAAAAGTATGGTCAGAATGAACTCTGCTATCACTTGAATAATATTAAGAGTAGAATGCTGAAATCAATGATTTCTCTCATTAATTTCATAGATAAGATGTGTGAAGATTATTTTAAGAAATATAAGATTCTCTGACTTCTGATAAAAACAGATCTTATAGAGAGACTCTATTTTCATAATATCAGAGACTGAGTATTATTAAAAAGTATTACTTATAATATACATGTACTTACTGTGATAATTCATTCTCTGTATATATAACTCAGAGTTGCAGCTTTCTCACACTGCACAGCTCTCTCTGAGATGCTGATACTGATTTGTAACTCACACAGTCTCTCAGTCCAGTATATACTGTATGTATACAGCTCTGCATACTTAGGCTGTGTTGATTATTATAGTCTGATATGATACTCACTTTTCACAGGCCATGTTTTGTTTGAGAAGAGAAGAGAAAAGACACAACTGTGATTTATTAGAAGAGAATGAATAATTTGTAATATTGAATATAATGTAATTCTTCTGTATTTAAAATTTGATTAGTCTATACTCTTCAATTTGAGAATTTCTAAGAGTGTTTTAATAGTTTTCATATCAGCTTGAACTTAGTGATGAGTTGAAGAAGAAGAGAAAAAAGAGAAGAAAGAAATGAGAATAACTTATCTTTATAATATAAAAACAGAGAATCACTGTAATCATTCTTTCTAGTAATAAAGATATGTTTTCTGCATGTATCTCTAATATAGATTATATAATAACTGTATACAAAGAATATCAACACTGCATGTATTGAATGAAGATAATATTGCTATATAATACTATAGCTGTTTTCATATATCTCTGAAAGCTATTAATATTTTCTTTATCTCTTTATATTTAATAAGTTAGTAATATATTTCAATGCACTTCTTCTTTCATTATTGTTATTATCATTATCACTATCATTATCATTATTATTATTATTATTATTACTATTATTATCATCATTACTATCATTATCATTATTATTATTATTCTCATTATTATATTATTTCTGATCATCTCTTCTGCCTTCACTCTTCTTCAATACTTACTGAAACTAATTATATCATTTCTCTTCAAATATTCTGCAGTTCTGCAGATTATCAAGATATGTGAGTACTATCACAGATTGAAGAAAGAGAAGAAGAAGATGTTCAAGTGAGAGAAAACAGATTATAAGACACATTATAATACCTTGAAGAGACTCTGTAAGAAAATAGAATGAAAACAATTTTAAGTAACACTTCTGATAGATTTAGACTGAACTAAGTATAGAAATAATACAGATGATACTATCTGTGAGAGATTAAAAAAGAAGATAGTGAAGAGTCTTATATAGTAGCAGTGAAATCAGAAAAAGTTCTGAGAATGATTTGAGTTCAAGATAAACAGAGAGAGAGAGAAGAAGAGTGTTACTATTAATAAGTGATAATAGAAGAAGATTAAGAGAGTGTTGAAGTGAGAGATAAAGAAGTTAAAACTGATAAGTTTTTTATTTATTGAGAGATAATGATTTTTAATAATACTTCTATTATCTAATTAATTAGTAGAAGCTGACAGAGAAGAAGAGAATTGAGGCCTTGTTCAGGTCTTAAATATGCTTCATAATTCAGAATATTAAGAAGACAGCTCTGCTCTCTGAGCATGTTAATCTGCTTACTACTGAGATGAAATCTGAGACAGTAGACTAGAAAATGCAGGATTTTGAGACACAGATTGATCTGATTAAGAGAAAGTAGTAAGAACTCTTCTCTAAGAAGACAGTGAAGAGAGATTTTAAGATAATTATTATCTCAGATGAGAAGAAGAAGAAGAAGAAGAAGAATAAGAAGTGAATTATGAAGAATAATAAGAAGAATGAGAAAGAGAAAAAGTAGAAAAAGTTTTTTTCTTTTTATATTAGTTAGTTATAAGTATAAGTTTATAATTATTAATAAGTAAAATTAATTTTGAGTTTTTAAAAATTATTGTACAAGTTGTAATCAAGTCAGAAATAATATATATATATATATATATTTAACTATCATGATTCACAAATCACTATAATGTATAAGTATTAACATTTTTTTAATATTGATATTTATAATATTAATATATTTTTAATAATATTATCTAATAATATAATTTGATAACACTCTCTTTTACAATATTAATATATTTCAAGAAATATGATAGAGATTAATCAAGATTATTTATTTACTTTTATACATTAATAATATTCAATCTGAGTTAGTACTAAAATTATAACTAAGCTAAGAAATAAGATTATTTTCTTTTATATTAATTCTTCTTACACACATCAGTCAACCGCTCCACCACGAACTCGCTCGATTTTTCGAATAAGAACCCGCCGATAGATCCATCGAAAAGCCCTCGATCATACGAGCACTTTGACCCCATCGCCGACCGCATACCCCGTGTGGTGGTGGAGTTATCCAGCCAAACGTGAACCGGACGTTGTTCGAAGCTCCTGTGTGGGATTATCCCCCGTTCTCCCCTACCACACCACAACCCCGGGCCAGAGTGCCATACAAATTGTAAGGTGAAGTGACCTAGCCATATGCACCAATCTTCTCGATTTTGGAAGACCCCCGACCTGTAGTTGTGGAGATATCCGAGGAGCGACCTCCGCGAAAACCCTGTCCATCTTTGATGTTCCAAAACACCAACGCCAAGTCTCACCCTCGTACCGCCCTTCCCAATCTGGCCCATCCCCGGCAGAAAAATACAAAAAGATACCTCGGCGATAATATCAAGCACATAATCAACGGACTCTTCTGAAGTGCAACCTCCACGGTCCGCCGCCAGTGTATCTAGACTTCAACACCAAGTCTCACCCCTGTACTACCCCTCTCAATCTGGCCCATCCCCAGCAGAACGATACAAAAAGATACCTCGGCAACAGTATTCAATACATAACCAGTGGACAACGAGTCAACAGCACATCAACAACTATAAAATCAGTATACCCCAAGGTCTGACTGAGCCTTTGATCCCTGCACAGTGAGATATATTAAATCTAGTTTTAATACCTCAATATTCAATAGATTCTGCAAGGGATTGAGAACAGCAACACTAGGTTTCTATTGAATTTGAGAATTAACTCTATATTGATATAATCATTGACAAAGTCTTCTATTTTGAGATATAAATAACCAGTTCCTCTACATCCCGCTGGCAATATTTATATTATCATATAGAAACAGACTTATATTCTCTATAATATCAAGACCCTGAAGAGGGAAAGTCTTGGTAGGGGGTATACAGTAGTGCATATCTTAGCAGTTTCTATCTCATTCTTCTGCAGCAGTTAATGCAAAAAAAAAAAAGATCTTAGAAATAGTTTTTTACTTCTCTTGAAAAAGTAAGGTGTTTTTCTCTGGGTTTTACACAATATTCTTACAAAGAATTAAAAACAGAGTTGTTTTCTGTCATAATTTCATATTCTTTTAAGTAAGAATTACTATTTCAGTGGCTGAAGAGCTTTCATTAATACTTAATTCTTTTTTACACTCTTTATTAACTGATTTGAGTTGCACACTTGTTGTGTGAGGAGAATTGGATGATTTAGAATAAAATTGAATAGTTTTAATCAATTTCTCTGCAAAAAATTGATTTATTTTTTGTCAGTTTTTCTCTCAAAAACTGTCATATCATCTGATTTATTATCAATTGATATCATACTTTTCCTCACTGTATCCCAAGAAAGAGATTGTAAAGATTTTATTGATTTATCTTAAAAATCAATTTTAGTTTATTAGATTCTCTTCAAAAATCTAACCTAGTTACTGAACTAGTGTGAAAAAAATCAGGTGTTTTATACACAAAAGTCTTTTATTCTTCTTTTGAAACAGTCTGACCAACTTTTCAATTGAAAACAGACTTAGAAATATCTCAATTGAAACAGTCTGACCAACTTTTCATTGAGTGAAAACAATGAGTTCAAAAATACACTCAGTTGATGTGGAAAAAGATGCTTTCTCAAATGCTATTCCTGAGATTGAAATTCTGAAGAGAAGAAAGAAAGAAGAAATAGAGAAACAACAAGTTCTTGAAATACAGGAACTTGAAAAAGCAAGCAAGATTCTTGGAAAGCAGTGTCTGAGTGAGATGAATGAAGAAGTTCTGTTAATTCTTCATGCTCAGGCCAGACAACTACAGGAGGTGATCAAGTTCAAACTTGGAATCTCAAACACAGTTCAAAAAACCTTGAAAATTCCTAGTACAATCACTGACTCTTCATCTTACTCTTTTTCTTCCTTTCTTCCTACTCCTTCTTCTTCTTTGAATCAGAAGAAAACATATGCTCAAGCAGCTGAATCTGCTGTCTCTAAACCTGCTGTCTCAAAACCTGCTCAAAATCCTGAGAAAACTGAGAAGAATACTGCTCATGCCTCTATTCATGGAAAAGTGGAAAAGA